CCTCAGCCTTATAATGTACCTATGTTCTTTGATTGCTGTTGTTTATTCATTCAGTTGATTTATGTAGCTGCCTATGTTCATGTGAATTGTTCTTCTGAACTTGTGAAAGTAAAGTAGGTTAGAATTAGTTTTGCGTTAGTGTTCTGTCAATGTAAGTTGCATTGTTACACCTTGCCTCTCCCCCCTCCTCGGTACACATTGACGTAATATGTGAATGAGACTTACATTGAATTTCATAACTCTCTCACTGGAATCCATTTTTGCAAAGAATTAGAGAATGTTACGACACTCAGTGTAAGTTTCTTGAAGTACATGCGCTGTTGTCACATTGAGAAGATGGAACAAAAATAGATCATTAAAGACAGCGTCCAGACAGATCTTGAGCGAAATACGATCGCGGGGTCCAGTTTCGAGATAAATATCTCAGCCATTAGAGCACTACCTGAACTGCCGGTTGGGCAGTGGCTTAGTTAGGGCCCCAAAATTACCATCCACGTGAGATCCCCATGTGTCCAGACTTGCCTGTACGCTGCCTTTAATGAGTGAAACTCACATTAACACAAACACCCAAGAAGAAAGGGATTTCTTTTGCAGATTGGAGAACATTAAAAGAAGTTGAGCTGGCGTGTTGGAGCCCTTCATTACTTACTTCATCTTAGAGTTGCACTTGCAGCTCACAGAAGAAGTTGCTGTAGACAGAGTAAGTATTCGTCAAGACCGCCTGCGTGTGCATACGACCGCATTTTGCGAGGTCTTTATCTTTTCTTCCAAAACGAAGCTAATGTCACGCCTTCCCAGATGTAATAATCAAGATGCAAGGACTCTTTTGTAAAGAAAACGGTGTAATCTTGACTGGAATGACGGTAAGTGGCCTTCAGAGTCGCCCCCTCCAGCTCAATCCAATTGCAATAGCAATTTTGCTCCCGGTGAGTTCTGCGTTCTACAAGATGCCTTGTCTCTTTTCTCAAGATGCTGTTGTTGTAGTTGCCATGGTTAATCTAGAAGGCGAAAAGGAATCCACATTCACGAGCATCACCAGAAACGCTTTTGTGTTGTCACAGATGGCCTAAGTAGACGTCATCGAGGTCAGCCTCTGGGAAATAGCCTTACTTTTACTATTACCCGTTCGTTTCTTTAGCGCTTTCGGTCGCAGAACGGTGACTGCTCACCGTCAGTAGCTGGAGTGGATACGTAGCTGAAGTGGATACTTTTCTGGACAATTACGACGGAAGAAGATATAAAAAATTCAGTTAAGATCAGTTTCTGTCTTACTGTATGGTTTTTACATATGTGACGGAAAGGAAAAAAACACTCGAATGATCTGAATGCTTAGATAATGCTCTACTTTTCCGCGGACCTCCGGAACATTCGCTACTAAACTGCTGACCCACGTGATTACTAAAAGTATCATCATGATCATCTGGCCGCAGACGATGCCCGAGAGCCGGCCCCATAAGGCAGCTCCTGTTAAGCCTGGAAAGACATCTAGCTGATGAAAGGGCGCTCGCTTTCTGTCTCCGTACATGAGGATTCCAATGTGGCTGAATGGAGGAGAATGGGTGAAGTATGTAGGGAATTCATGCGCTACATTACAGAACCCGAAGATACTTCGAAGCCCTGGCACGGGATAATTACTCGGACGTATTAGACGGTGCCCCCTACACCCATCCCGCGGTCTGCTTGGGCAGTACACCTGGCGCAATTCCACTTCAATCTTGACAAACAAGCAAATGTTGCTGTGCTTGAGAAGATGCGCATCACCCTTGCCGACCTTGTTCGTCTCTCTAAATTTAGCTTCGCATCGACACAGCGGGCTCGCGAAAAAGCGCGTGCTAGGAAGCGTCGTAGGAAAGAAAGGATGCCCAACTTCTGGGGCATCGAAGACCCGCAGAGAAAGCGCCACCAACAGCCTATAACGTTCCATCCCCCACCTACCAGCAGCCGACATTCCAGCCCGCCACGTCGCTGTGAACGATCCGGCAGCAGTCGTCGTAATCGGCCACACCACAATGAGAGGTCTCCCCGTCGTAGGTATGACTACCCCACCAGTGATCATAGAGCCAATCCCGGGAGCGGGTCGTCGTACCGCCGTGAGAAGCCGAAGCAAGCCACCAAGGAGACAAGCGCGTAAGCAGTGAGCCCAGAACAAGGACCACCATACCGCGCTAGGTCGAGCCAGGGTCTAGCCGTCGCGCTGTGAGCCTCACTATGCTACGCCGCTCTCACTCTTCTATTCGTGTACGTAGTGGAAGTCATCGCTCACCCGCTCGCTAGCGGCTCGAAGGTCGCGATCGCATCCCGCGCCAACAACATCAGAACCGCTCGGCGCCGTTCGGGCATGTAAAGGAAAGGAGAAAACGCTCGAACTATTTAAATTGTTTAAATGGTGCTCTACTTTTTTGTATTTTTTTTAATGATCTTACCTTGCTTATTTACCGGTTGCAATGTTAAGATCTCGTGCTATTCGTTTTGGTATAAATTTCCTATGTTTTTGTCTTGTTTCGTACGCACACGCGCGTCGTGGCGGAACTAAGTGATCGGCTGCATGCACATCTTTTCGGGCTCTATATAAGGGTGCTTCGCTTGGCTCAAATCACTTTTTGTCTTCGTGTCACTTGGAGTGCGGTCGCTTCACTTCGAGGAGCCAAGCCGAGAGGACGTGACACATCGCCGATCGCCTGGAGAATCTCATTTTAATAAAAGACTTCAACAAACTTCTGGACACCACGCCGGGCCCCCGGAATAGCACCAACTGCGTGCCACATATCTCCCTGCAGTTCAGCTGATTGCGTGCCGACTCCAAGGCTATATAGGCGGTGGCCCACAGTTGGCGTGTTTTGCCAATAGCTCCTCTGGAAAATTTATTTTTTCAGGGAGTCTGCATGAGTTTGCATGGCGTTAGTCTTCCCAAATAAGCACGCATATGCACATCGCAAGGCCTAGGATGAGGGCTCAGACGCAGCTCATAGATAATGCCACTATCTGTGGCCTAATGAGCAGTCAAATGGCACTTCTTCCTATATTATCCAAATTCCTGTACATGAGCCGTTTGAGAGGTGATGATTGGGGGCATCTGCCAGTTGTGAACGCCAAAGCTTCCTCCAAGGTGCGATTATGTAGCGCTTATAATAAGCCGATAAAGCTAGGCACTTCACAAAAGGGGTATTGCTAAAAATTAGAAAAAAAAATAAAAGATAAAATAAAAATGAAAACTAAAGTACAATTTCCATTCTGCTTAATTTTCGTTATGTCACAACCTGGGCCGCCTCTAGCTTGCGACAACAAAGGGAGTCGTATGTTTTCTGTCGCTTCGGCGAAAGCCAGGAAGAAGAGTTCCGTGTAACGATCGAATTTTTGGCGGTGAAATGAATCTGATGACCCTGATCTGATGACTCAGCGATCTGGGTAAAGTTTCGGCTTGATGGCTTGTTGATTCAGACTGAGAATAGCTTTACCTTTTGTTTTTCGAGCTTTGAAAGAATTTGACCAGCTCTCGAAAAATGCGTAACTTTTTCTCCACTTCTCTACCAAAAATCAAACTATATGCTTGCATTTGTGGCCCATTACCTAATCTACATTATGCCTCAAAGTGATTGCGTCGCAATCAAAAAAAGAAAAGTTACAAAACAAGTTGCAAACTTAATGTGCCGAACTAATACTTGCACCCATTCGTTCTCTGCTTCGATACTCCTTGCCTTTGACCCACTATTGACGTCGTTTTCTAAACTCCATGTATGTGCAGCCATGCTCTGCTTCTGATATTCTTGCCTTACTTCTCGCCTTTACCATTGCCTTCTGAATCCGTCTTGTTCTGATTCACATGTGTGTGAGAAATGATGCTACGGTAACGTTCTGCGAAGTCCGAAATTATGATCTATTAACCTTTACGTGCATGAATTTCGGTTCAAATCTTGGTTCAAATCAAGTGAGTATCTACCATATGGATTGGAAGCTTTTATGCTTGTGTGTCCAAAAATTTTTAGCTCGTCACAGGTGCACCAGGTGTGTAGATTCGAAGGTATGTTAGGACGAGCTTTTTCCGATCTATTAACCATAATATATTCATTTCAAAAAATCAAAGAGCTCTCTAGTTGTACTTGGACGCACCGACAAGGAGAGAATGACCAAGAACGCATGAAAGGAAAACTTGCGCAGTCAGCCGTGAAAAAGGGGCTCTTTGTTTATCAACACACACTCATCGCGTGCATAGTTGTACTCGATTATTTGAAATTTTTTTCTAATAAAAACATGTGTGAAGAACCAAGAATCTTCCTCAATAAATGACTAAACTGCTGTTTACCTCAACCGCAAAAGTGGTCAATTGCTGAGGCTCCGAGTAATTGTAGTAAGAACTTCCCGGGAACTTCGGCTGCAGGAGTTACGGCAAACTATTCTTCTGGATTTTAACGAGGACTTTGCCTGCTGAAGTTTTGCAAGCTACAGTCTTCCGGGAAGTTTCCGGAGATTTTAGAGCAGAAGCTTCCAAGAGCTAACCAGGAGTGGAAAACTGACTAGAAAGCATGTTCGCGGAAGAGGCGCAGAGTCCAGACGATGCGGCCGCGCGGGAGCGGAGAGCTGGTGGGCCTGACAGTGCGGTTGACCTGTATATGACTGATCGGAAAAATATTTGAATTGAAAAAAAAACAGTATTTAGACTTTATTCTTACTGAAAAAAATTTTGAATGAGAGCAAAAGAAAGCAATTTCATGCTCCCGTAAGAAATGCGCTTGTATCACCTTACTTGACATTACTACATGTGTTTCGGTTACTGTAAAACGTTCTGTCTTGCAAGCACCATCCAAACCACAAATCCTGTTTAAAACTAAAGAAGTTCATTGATTTTTATTTCGACGATTGATTTCCTACTGATTGCACTGATAGTTGATGAAGAAGAAATCGGCCGTGACGTTGTGACGTTGACCCATATCCAGGCTCTATCTCGCGCCCTTTCGCTTTCGCAGTTTATCACACCTATTTCAAATCTTTACCACTTCCAAACTATGCCTCCTTCCATCGTGCTGCTCTTTTCTCTCATCGTTACTGCCACAGCCAAGTTCAGTATTAGTGAGCTTAGAACACTCTGCCCAAAGGAGAAAGAAGTTTGCGCTGGAAAGGTGGCTAAGGTAAGCAAACTTACCTGAAACTTCCCACGTGATAAAATAAGTAGAAATTTTCAGGGTGATTGTTTTGGTTCCTCATTGAGAGCCGGCGTTTTGCAAAAAGAATGTAAATGCTCATGTGATGCAGTACATCATGCAAGAATACAGGTAAGACTTTGATCTTTCATATCAGTAGATTTCATAATATTTCATAATATTTTAGAAATGCTGTCGAACCGTGGGTGATCACGATATGAAGTTTTGTCTACCACTCTGTAGATACAATACATCATCAGAAGAAGTAAGTGTTGGGTTTCAAAGATATAAAGCAATCTTTTCAGTTTAAAAAGTTTCCATTCATAAATGATGCGAGTAAATCTTAAAAAAGCGAGTTTATTTTTCATTTTATGTTTTAAGAAAGCATTACATAGAACCAACAGCAGGTACTAACCCTTATAAGAATTTTTTTGATAAATTTTTCTTTCTTGTGTACTTCACCTTGATTTGAGTTGAGGTAGCCCTTTGGTACCCCTCTACTTTGGAAATCCCTCTGAAGCGGATAGCAAGGACTGTCTGAAGATCAGCCACTGATTTCAAATTTAGAAAACGGATTAAATGCTTCTACTTTCTTGTTGCTGAGTATTGAAATCTTAATGCATTGACCAATTTACAAAGATCCAGTTTGTTCAGACAAATTGATTGATTGAAGATGATCGTTTTCCGCTTCGCCAGCTTTTTCACGAAAAAGTATTTTGCACTTGCAAGCAAGATCCTGCTTTTGAGACATTGAAATTATCTCATTTTGAGTATCAAAGATTGTGAAGAATTTACAAAAAAATGCTTTGATCAAACTTCGCTGTCGTAAGATTGCGTTTTGAGGACTAGCTGAACCCTCCAACCACAATTAGTCACTAACTAGTGAACCAGTAATCAAAGGTGCTAGGTTGCATCCGAGCGCTTCGGGACCGCACTGCGGTTTCCCGCTATTGAAAGATTTTCGAATTGAGCAAACGATTATATTAGATCTTAACAAGCTGAGAGGGTTGCCGAAGTCGTTAAACTATCAATACATATAACAAATGAGTTTCCTTAAACTCGCAGGAAAAGTGCTCAATTTCGAATCTTTCGAAGATTTTTCTTTATTTGGGTCACGTGGAGCTCCCCAGTTTTGCGATATAAAGAGTACCCCAAAAATGTGCCTACTGTTTGACTATCAATATGTCTCTTGTCATGAAGTCTTTAGTGAAGCTTTAGGTATGTACTATTTTGTAGAACTGGCTTCAATTCAGATTTACAGTATAAAGGGTCACCAATCACTCTTCGTCATTGTAGAAATGCGATAGCAACTTTGAAAAGGGTCTTGAGCCAAGGAGGTCCATATTTTGCCTTAGAAAGGAAAGAAATGACTTACCTCACTCTAGGTCAGAGTTGTTATTCTACAGGTTGTTGCAAAAATAATGTCACTCTGCAAAGTTTTAATTTGAAAGGCTATCACTTTGTTCATTCTACATATTTTTGAATGCAACCAAAACCATATGAAGCAAACCTTTCGTAAGCTAAGGCGCACCTGCATTTACTGGCAGCGCGAACGGGAAGTAAGCCATGCTTCAAAAAACCAAAAGTTTTTCTCTTGAAAACTTCGTCTTTGAAAGTTTGCAACTCCCTTCAAATTTTGTTCTTATGGCTGCTGATCAGCTTATTTTGTAGATGCAAGCCGGTAGTATACGTTTGTTTAGAAAAAACTTCAACGAAGGGGATCTGTGAAGAAAAGACAGAATTGTTCAGCCAGGAAGTCCCAAACTATGGAATTTTGAAATTCTTCATAACTAAATAACCAAGTTCTTCTGCAAAAATTGTAGGAAAGATGTCCTGACCACGAGCATACAAAAATGAGCGAACTTCGCATTTGCTCTAATTATGAGAAACTTTGGATTCATAAAATGCCAGCAGCGAGTATGTTTTTCGGAAAGTCGATTTCTCTGTTCAGATATTTTTGAAAAATCTACTTAAACATGCTATAGGTAGATAATGTTCAACCAATTCAGTACCTATGTTTTCAAAAGCGACCGTTTATTTGCGCGTGAAGCCAAGGGAGTTAAAGCAACGAATCGATTTTGAATGCAGCTATGTGAGATGCTGGTGAAACTCTCACAGATAAGACAGAAGCTTGATTTTGCCACTATTAGATGGGGGACGAGCGGCGTAGTGGTATGAGGCGCCGCTATGACCAGATCGGAACCAAGTTCGATCCCGCCCTGGGCCAACCAAGCCCTTTATCCACCGGGGCCAGTAAATTGGTGCCAGAGTAATCTGGAAGGATAAAAGCGCTGACTTGGTGATCGGCTGGCCCTCGCAAGTCACTGTAATAGGGCCGCACGCATACAATTGCCTCTTCGACCATGAAGTAATGTGCGTTCGGCGCATGCTCGCAAAGGGTTATTGAAAACGCCGCACCCTTTATCCTTTATCCTTTTGGTACTTGAAGAAGAAAGCTTTCCAGTGATATGCAGAATCTGTAACGAAGAAGAAATTTTAGGAAAAAAAGTTGTTCGGAAAATAGGTTTAGAAAAACGACATTATTTTTGCAACAACCTAATAAATATGAAGTTTGCATCTTATCATAATGTAAGCAGTGACAGCCGTTACTTAGATGTTCCCAAAAAATGTGGTCACACTGTTTGAAATTCCCAATCTTGTACAAGTTTGAGTATGAAACGTCTATGAAAATCCTAATACACTGATTAATTGATTTTTTCTCAAATTATTTGAGACTGTAGCTTTGCAATGACGCCGTATACCAGAAGTTCCTATCTTAATCCTACTGTAATGTAGGGCGATATATTCGCTCCAGATTGTGAATCTAAGTCGAAGTCAAATCTACAAAATGGTACTCAAAACTCCTTGAAAAACTTCAAGACAAGGGAGATATCAACAGTCAAACAGTAGGCACATTTTTTGGGACACCCTGTATACATGTCACAAACAAGATTTCACTTTCTGAATTTCTTGATATCGTCCGACTTGTTGTTGAAAAGTGCTCAATTTGTGTTAATAAAAACGTAAACTTTCAAAATGTTTTTGTAAGCTCTGATGCTCCCGAATCAAAGAAGTCAAAATGGAGTAAAAATCGGCATTTCTGTTCCGCAGTGTTGATTTCCAGATAGATGTAGGATTTTTCTTAGCCCCACCTGATTGGTGTTCCAGGTCCTTACGGTAGTTGCAACACTTGTGCGAAGAAATTTTCATGAAGCAACATGCTCGACTTCTGCGCCCCATGACCATTTTTACTAGCACTTATTTTGAGGCTGCGTTCAATCTTTCGTGTCATCGCTATTCTAGGCCCGTACTAGAGGTAGCACGGCGCTGACACGGAATTGGCAATTGCGCTGGCAGAACTTCAAAGAATCCTAATCAAGAAAATAGTGCTGGTCTATAATTCCCATGTAGAACTGGCTTTTCAGCTTGGATCTTCACTTGGTCTCAAATGTTTGTCACAGCTGACTACTTGGGCTTACTGTGCGGCTGACGCTACCGATCAGACGGCTTGTTGCAAGAAAAGAGGTAAGACCTTGACTTCAAGTGAAAATCATGAAAGTTGCGGTTATGTATCATCGCAACCTCAGTTTAGATCTTAGGTGTGATAAATGAGTGCTTATCGTTCTGCAAAGGAGATGTGCCAACATGTGATTCGCAGTCGATTATGAACTATCAGCCATGCACTCAGGTAAAGAAAATCGATTTATTGATTGGCTAATTGCTATCTTTGTCAAAGCTTTGCTTGAAATGTCAATTACAGCATATGAATTCGATCATTCAATGTCAAAAGGATGGACTTACACCCACGCCAAGGTACAACCCGAACTGGTCCTCTGTCTGCGATTGGGAAGGAAGATAAAGAGATTTTCTGTGATAATTTGTATAAAATAATCACCGAGGGCTGGTGTCGGCTTCGCATACACGGGATGAATAAATATCATTATGATATGGGAGATTGTTCTTTTTCCCGGCACCAGAGTTTTGTTATTTGTCTATCGACCAATTCATAGTACATTACTTTACAAAGCGCCAGTGTTTCATCCACTTTAGGCCAAAGTGAAATGCATTCACTTCGCCGCAGCTCGGAACTATCGCTACAACAGTGAATCATATCGTGCTTGGAATTTTTTTGTAAAACTATGGATGGACATAATCAACAATTGCAACACCGTAAACACCCCCTGAAAATGTTCAAAGCTCAAAGCTTGCGGTTCATGTGGACCTCTTCGACTAATGTAAAAAATTAAGTTCAGAGAAAAGAAATGAAATTCAAATCGTTTTTTCCTGCTTTTTTGAAGAATGAGGCTGCTGATCTGCGCTCTCGAGCAGCTGGCAGATAGCGGTTGGCAAAAATATTGTCATAATTGAAAGCCACAGGAAATCTAGCTCACGTCTGCGTCTGCTCATTTCCTTCGATCTTTGGCTGGCAAAATGCCTGGGCCTTGCGCTTGCGAAGCCTTATCAAAGCGGACGCGCACCTGCGCTTGAACTGCTTAGGCCTACATCCGGTTGAAATAGGCTGTAAGTGCTTTATGCGGAAATGCGCGGTTGTGAATTACCATCATGTTGATAGAGCAAATATTTTTTCGGAATATCCCGAACATTCAAGGGCATCAACATATTTTTCTCGAGATCCAAACCTCGAGAGAAGCCCGAGCGAAAATACAGCGTTTCTCTTTTGATTTCTAATGGCTGCTTCTAAGCTTGAACTGCTAATGATAGATGGCTGATGATAATTACTAGCAAAAAAAGAAATTTTCTTGACGAAATTTTTCTCTATGTGAGCGCAAAAAATTGAGAAAAGTGTTAACTCGAACACAAGAACATTTGGCAGACCCCTATCAGCTTATCAAACGACTTTACATCGACCGCATATATGCTCAATGAAAGACACGCTAAATCTGTATGGGGCATTTTTAGAAAAAGCTTCACTAAGCGTAGCTCAAATCTCAATTATTCGGAGAAAAAAACCAAAAAAAGTTAGAGACAGACCTTAAGGCTACTCTCGCACGTTGAAACTAGCAAACTAGTCTATTGTGTTGGACCGCTTCCAAAAGTGTTTGACCAGAATTAGTAGGAACAAAAGTAGTGTTATCTCTAACCCTGCATCTTCTAAAAAGCGATGGAACATATTATATGACAATTAACAGCAGCGAGCCCACATCCAAAAGATGAAACTCTATTTTCGCCGTTTCGTACGAGTGAATATCAAATGTCTATTACTCGAATTTTGAACTTTCATTCCAAACAGTGTTCTGCTCTGCTTGGTCCCTATAAAGTACCTTTCGAGCGCTGAGTGAATTTTTTTACTTCAAGGCCGTTCTGCCAGGGGCATTCTGTACGGTTTTTTCCGATCAGTGATAGTTGTTTTCTGAATTTACCCATATCGCGGGTTACATCACGACTTCCTACACTCTTAACTAAAAACCGTTGCATATCAACCTAGTCCTGAATACGCAAAGAGAAGAAAGCGAACGATTTTCCTGTGATAATCCGCAGTTGCAGCACGCGTAAATCGCAGAATACAGCGCATGGCGTGCAACGTGCATGTAAAGCTACGAACAATTGACTTGACTGTAGGTGGTGGAGAATGTTTGGAAAGGTTGCTGCGCTACTGTTACGACGCAATATTCGTTCGTCTTAATTTCATGTTAATTCTAAGAGCGTCTTTCTCTCAAAATTGATTATAAAATCAAACGGTTTTTTCCAGTCTCCTTTTTTTTGAAATCTTATGAGGATCACCAGTACTTCTTGCATACAAACCAGTTCTGTTCTGGGCTCACTTTTCTTGCTGCTAAGGAGCTAGGGTTTCACCGAACTCAAAATTCAATGCTTGTCTTGCCTCATTACCTGCTCGCACCGGCGACATTAGCATGGAGCATGCCAGCTGCTCTAATCGATTCTACCACCCGCACATCTGCTACCCTATTTGGATATGTGAGGACAAGTATCCTTCTCTCTGTTCTTCCCTTTTTTATCTCTTCTACCTTTTCAAATCATGGAGCAGTTAGAAGAGGAAGAGCCTGGTCACTTTGACTACAAGCACTTACAAGAGTTGAATCATGCGCTTGAGGTAAGGTTATTAATTAAAAGTGTACTTAGTTTTTTTTTACTCATTTATTTGCTTTCAATTAACCAACCACTGAAACTTATTTCATTATGATGAAGAGAGAAACAACGAAGTGATCCACAAAAACGATTTCCTGTTACTCAAAAAAAAAACCGGAAAATTGGTTTCAATTATTGAACTACCTATTTCTAGCTTTCATTGAAAAGCTGCAACACCGGAGGTGTATGGGCATAATTTAAAACCCTGGGACGGTTTATCAGTAGACATGAATTGTAATAGAAAGCTGTTCTCCCTTTGACTTAACAATTTTAGCTACGTTTTAATTTCACTCAGAGCCATGGAAAATCCCATTCCACAAAAAACATTAAATAGTGCTTGAATTTAAAAATATGAGCTTAGCTGTTTCCGGTATAACTCGAATTCTCAAATGCAAGAACCTTTTCACAGCCGAAATTGGTTGAAATTCTGCCGCATGTTAGTATAGCTCAACAATCACATTCTAAGTACATAGAATCATTTGGAAGGAAAGCTCAAACTACTTTATTACCACAACTAATTTCCGCTTTGTTTTTTGATTTTTACCTTTTCTTATGAAAAAAATTTGGCCGAATGCAAGTGTATTATACTATAAGTTCAATTATTCAGAAGAAATGCGTAGATTTTTTGATTAGCACATCGAATGCTTTCCGTTCTAATGTTTTGATATCCACCTTTTCTTTTCTTGAAAAAGGACCAGAATTTAGCCAAATCCAAATGAATAAGAATTATACTCTTTCTTATTATGACCTTTTTTTATTTCTACATTTCTTATCGTAGTTTCAATTGGGTCCTTTAGTACAGGAGCGATTTTTTTCAAGGTGGAACGAAACCTAGTTCTCAAAGCGCATGACAACTACCGCAGTCTCAAGCAAAAATTCATTGAACTGAGAGAGGAACATGAATCGTTGCAGAATGAAATGGATGCAGTGAGTTCTTCTCTTTACGGATCTGGACTGCAAGAATGAAAGGAATTATGCTGTCACAAAAACTCTTAAATTTTTTTCATAGAAAGTCATCGCTCATAATCAACGCTTGGAAAGCATGACGGAGGAAAATGAAAAGCTCAATGTCGAGAACGATATTCTTCGCGAAGAAGTTCAAAGATTGAAGGATGAGCTGAAGAAGATGACCAAAGATATGAAAGTGAGAGAAGAAGAAATGAAGCGATCATTCAGTGATCAAATCGAGAAACTTTTGGAGGAAACCACCAGGTAAGACAGGTTTATCAAAATATATTATAAATATAAAAATATATCAAAATAATAATAATCCTATAGATTTATTTTTCAATTACTTCGTAAAGCCAGATACAACTGCTGGAATATTGTGATTAACACATTGATGACAACGCTAATTTTCGATTGTCCGCCTCTCGGGACCAAGACCTTCCACGAACCATTCAGCAATTTATATTAAAATTACGCATATTCCCATCCACAGGATACCTGCAATAGCTGTGGAAAGTTGAAAAAATAATAGAGGTCATTTTTAATTTCACAGCAAAAGAAAATTGCTGGAATGAGTTTGTACCAAAGTAATCGTCATTCTAACGGAGTTCAAGCCTTGACACACCATGTGTGTCAAGAGGTCCCACGTGGTAGTCATGCCGTCAATGTGTTAAATTTTGTACTATAGATCCATGAATTTTTCTAAGTTAGTGAAATTGAATGTTTCCCAACCTCAAATCAAAAATTTTATTGCATATGTTTGAAGAGTGAATATGGGCCTTTATTACGTAATATTATGATTTTGAATAGAATATTTGCAAATCTTTGCTTATATCGGCTCAATTATCATGTAGTTCAAAACCTCTAGGGAAGAGGGCGATGAATTTGCAAAGAAAGAGGAAGAACTGCGAAGAAATCACATCCTTGACCATGACGACAAAGTCCACGAATTACTGGCAGAGATACAACAATTACAAGCAGAACGTGACGAAGAAGTACGAATGTTGAGAGCTGAACTTAATGATGAACATCAGATGAGGATAGAATTGACTTCGATAGTACAAAGGTAGGCTTTTTGACTGATTATGTTTTATAAATTAATTGGAAGTTCCAGCACCAAAACAGACCTGGATTTGGCGCGAAACGCGGCTGCTCTCAAACATAGTGAATCTATCGCGTTGCGAAGGTAAGTTGTCAGTAAGGTAGTTTTTGAAAATTTTAAACTTGTTTCAAATAAAAAGTGATTGGACGGGGAGGGGGGGGGGGGCTTATTTGAGTCACTGCCCACATGGCAGCTCATATGATTCATTCATGACCGATAGAGTCAACCCTAAATTCCAGCGCATACCCTAACCTCTGTCGTACTTGAGAATTCTGATTGGTCCATTGGAAAAACTATTGTCTGAGTGATTTGGGAGATAAGTTGGTATTCTCAACTACGCGTTTTCCATATAAGCTACGTTTGGGTATCGATTCAGACAAAAACTCTCACTATTTATACAAGACGTCCAGGTCCCCAGATTTGTTTGGACATGCCTTATAAAAATCGCTAAAGGTAGACCTGATTTAAGAAAAACATGTTCAGTGAACTGAATCGCTGCCTCAAAGAAGATATGGAAAAAGAGATCGATTGGATGACGAAGGAGGACAATTTTCGAAAGACTCTACTCTTGCGAACAACCTCATTCGAACAGAAAGCAAATGATTTTCAGCGTGCCATGGCAGAAAAGGACGAGCTCATTGCAGGTTAGCATGATAGCAGGGTTATGAATGAAGTGTTTTTGAGAGAGCCGAGGATGGCGGAATAGTGAAAAAACCTGATAGAATTGTACCGAGACTGTTAGGGATAGCAGTTTTTGAGATACTTTGCTTTCCTTTCCAGAGATAAATTTCCTGATTGTCCATAGCCAGATCCGTATTTCGTTTTGATACGTGCTTGTTTCTTTCTCCAACAAATATGAATGCAAAAAAATTCGAGCATTTTAGGTACTGCTTCAGTACCAACGAGTTTTTTCTACTTTTTAGGTTTGCGTCTTGATGTGGAAAGATTACAAGCATCGCTTAAAGAATCACGAAGACAACAAGCGGAAAACGACAAGAAGGTTTGCGGTCTGTCACCTTCCTGATTGTTAGAGCTTCAATTTTTTTAGAGTCCACCGTTACCAAAAGAAGAAAAAGACGACTCTAGCCAAGCTGTCATCGAACAACTAAAAAGGGAGCGAAACAATTTGGAAGTCACCGTTGCCGAGTTGAAGTTGGTTTACCTCATCCGAATATCATTCTTGAATTTACCCAGACTTCTAATGGCAAGCTCGCTGATTGAAATTTTTGTGGAAAAACGGGAGTAGAAATAGCGAAAGGAAAGTTTTGGTTTAGTTTTTGTAGTTGCTTCTGATTTAATCATTCTACACTACAGTCATTTTGGGCACATAATTTCGATTCAAAAATACATTTTATTATATATCCAGGATGAAATGAAAAAAACATTTACAGCTTTTTTTTAGTCCTTCGAATGAGACATCATAAAAGCAATTTTCAGCAAATTTCTTAATATTGTGTATCTGTAATCGTATGTCGCTATCGCATATCTTCCGGTTTTGCTTCACAGAGAGATCCTTGCACTTTGTTTCTTTAGGAAACAACTCGAGAGCTCACCAGAGACAGCAAAGGAGGTGAAACGGTTGAAGGAGCTTCTTGAAGACAAAACCGACAAGCTGGCGACTATGCAGCGAAGCTACCGACAGCTCATGCGGAAAGTTGAACACTCCCTTGTGCATTTGGAAAAACAACATTTGAAAACAAGGAGGAAATTGGAAGAGAATATCTTGTCCTGAATCACTGATTTGCAGATAAATATGTTTCACCATTTCAGCGGTTCATACTGCCGACTGCACCAAAATGTGTTCCCGTGAAGCTGTTCTGTAAACAGTGACAATTTGCATAAGCATATTTTAATAAAAAGAAGCTTGGAACTCGTTGACTAATGGCGCACGTCTGAATCTAGATCGAGCTGATTTTGAACTGACTCCATGTTAGCTGGAATTGTTAGATTGTAGACAATTTTAGACACCCCTTACACATTTTCAGCTCACTTCTATCTGGAAACTTCTTGTGCAGATCGCTGGAGCGAAAAGTTTTAGTGCGTAACTATGAGCCTGCAGAAGTGCTAGACCAAATTTACGCGACTTGCTGTAGTCAAATTAACCTAGGTTAAGGTGTACAAAATGGCGCAACTCGTCCATCGACTTCAATCGCTTTTGGTCATTCAAAAATAATTTTGCTGTTCGTAGAGCTCAGCAGATTATTATATTATATGGCCAAAAGCTCAAAAGTAAAAGCTCTCGGTTCGTCACGTTTGCGAAATTGGAACTCAACCTGAATCCTACGACAACGCAATTTTTCAATATTAACCTTCTTCAGCCAACTTTTACTACGGTTTGAAACACAGAGGTTGAACTTTGAGGTGCATGTCAGTCAGGTGGGACGAGATCTTGCGGCAATATCTGTCGCGTTGCGAGTATAACGTTTATATTATTGTTATTGCTTGCAATACATAGAGTTGAAGAGAATGCAAGAACATATCCAGGGAATTAATGATTTTCCTTAACAGATTAAATCTCAAATTATGCCCATAACCCTGCAGCAGCAAGACACTGCTGCAAAACTTTTATACTAACGGTAAGAGTGAATCGAGCATTTTGTAAGAAAGATGAATAATAAAGATAATATTAATAAAGATAATTTTGAGTTGATGTTAGAGGATTTTCTAAATAGATACAATTTGAACAATACGCCAAATATGCTTACTTTTATGCGAGCTAATGTTGTGGAGAAGTAGCATTTGGAGACTAAACTTTTACATTGTGCGCAATCAACATTTTACATTACATCAGACAGTTTACAATTACGGTTAGAAGATCATGTGATGTGTTTGTTTACTTTTGACTATGTTTTACCTTATTTGTTTGTTCTACGTACTCTTTCATGCGATTCTTTACAGACTTTTGAAAGAACTCCGGTAAATCGTGCCATAAAATCTAATTCCTATAAAAATTCTCTCATAAATACGATCTCGCTTAGTTGTTTGCACTGTTTGTAGTTAACTGATAAGGGTAATCTAGGTTATTTTGCAGAAACTTCGTATCGAAAACTGAAAAGTGGTAATCAACACATGTTAACCAGTTTCTTTACCACTTAGTATGGTGATTTGGGGTCACGACCTCGAAATGATCAGCTGTGACCAGTATAAAAACGCTGAAAACGAACAGCAAACGCATCCAGAACAATGTTCGAGGAGAAACTCGTCATCGGCATCGCGTCGACCTGCTCGACGCTGGCCATCGTGGCTTGCTTGATTGTTGTACCATCTCTGTACAACACAATCAACGAGATCCATGACGAGGTCCTCGACGGTGTCGCCGTTTTCCGCGTCGAGACCGACTCCGCATGGGCTCACATGATGGACTTCCAAGTCACCGTCGCTCCCCCAACCAAGCCTCGTGAGAACCCCTTCAACTCGATCTTCCGTCAGAAGAAACAGGCTCTTCCATCATACTGCCAGTGCACCACACCAACCGTCAACTGCCCTCCAGGACCTCCAGGACCACCCGGACAGCCAGGACAGCCTGGTTGGTTTTTAACTCTACCATTTCCGTCGTGTTTCTATTATTTATCAGTGCATAGATCAGATCCTTGTAATTTTAGGACAACCCGGAAACCCAGGACCCCCAGGACCAGACAACACTGTCACATACGCTCCCATCAGATGCCCCGGACAAAGTGGTGGTTGCATCACCTGCCCACCAGGACCACCAGGACCACCTGGACCAGATGGACAGCCCGGACAGCCAGGACCTGCTGGACAGCCAGGAAACCCCGGAGGCCCAGGAAACGACGGCCAGCCTGGACCAGTTGGACCACCCGGAGATGCTGGAGCACCAGGAAACCCAGGACAAGATGGACAGCCAGGAAACCCAGGACAAGACGGAACTAGCGGATCAGGCACTCCCGGAGGCCCAGGACCTGCTGGACCTCAAGGACGTCCCGGTAACAATGGAGGTCCAGGACAGCCCGGACAGCCTGGTAACCAGGGACCACCTGGACCACCCGGTCAACCTGGAGCACCAGGAAATCCAGGTCCCGACGGACAGCCCGGACAGCCTGGTAACCCAGGAACACCTGGACAAGATGCCGCTTATTGTCCTTGCCCACCTCGCGCTGCTGCTCGCAAGGCCAAGTTGGCCAAGCACTAAGCATTTTAATTTGTGTAAGCAGTCACTGGTGATACTGTAGAAATCGACGGATGTGTTAAGTCATAGTCATTCGTTGATATAATAAATCATTCATACTGCAAACGACATTCAACTGCAGCATTGTATCAGCCAACAAGATCGTTCACTTCAGACCCAAACTTTGTTAGGTCGTGTGATTTCACGACGCAACAGAGTGAAAGATTACAAGATAGAGCCACGAACTCGAAGCGGCCTATTTCCAAATGAGGCTTATCGCAAAGAGAGCTTGGAGCGCTGATTCCAAATCTATCTTTCCTATTTGCTGAACGCTTCTAAGAAAGAAATTATGAGTTTTCTGTGGGACGGGGAGGGAGGTCACTACCGCTGTGCGTACCACTTACCCGAATGCACCGTGCAGGCATAGCGTAAAGGCAAGTGTACTGTCTTTGAAGCCACGCTAGGCACGAGTCCTCTCTGAAGCGATTTTTTCGCAGTGTATGTACTTTAGTGAAACTTGAGAGACTAAGCTTTTGAAGTGATTTTTCGTACCGGAAACGATGCTCTACAAGATTTGCTGTAGTAAATCAGTAACAGACATCATGGGCTGAAAAATGATCGAAAAAGAACATTGCTTGAGAAGAAAACATTGCGAAAAACTAGTGTCATACAGAACTTTACAAACCCTGGAAAACTTTTTGTCGAAATTCGAAATTGATTATTATCTGACACTAATCCTACAAAACAAATGAGCTTTTATCGCCTCTATCGATTAGAATTTCCGATCCAGCCATTGCAATTATGATAATTTCATTTACGGAAGTTTCAAAGATCGGGCAAAACGCCTATGAGAAAAGGGAAAACGAGCTGCAACGAGCAATACCCGGTATCGGTCGTCGGTTGGTAATGAAATGATGTGAGGTTTGCGTGACGAGTATGGATTTCCTTAACATTAGAAAAATATTTTAGAAATTCAGAAATGCTAACCAGAGATGCCGAAAAATTCTACTGTATTTAGCTTTGTTCACACTATCCATTTAATATCGAATATTCCGCAGACAAAGATGAGGATTTCCGATGAACTGCCGAATCGGTTGTGATTGGAATCATTAGATTGGCGAATATTTTAGTGGCCACAAGAGTAACTACTCCAGAGATATGACTGCTTGAAAAAGAAAGAAGAGCTGCGTGGGATAGTGACTAGAGCGTTTGCATCTCTTTAATCTTGCGCGTTTTTATGATAGATCGAAAAAAAAAAACGGGAAGAGCTGGGACGATCTAATATTATAGATATTCCCATTGCTCCACATTTATTAGGTTGTCTCGAAGGTTTATCCGTTGCTTCAAGTTGTCGACAGGTTGACAGGTTGTCGAAAACGTTCACTTCACTTGTTAGTTCAATATTGGGAACCCTCAGAATTTGCTACAACTTGGTCCATGGTGGTTATTTGACATGATGATTACGAATATGTGCCTATTTATGCTAAAGCCTTTTTGTCATACCTACCGAAGAGAAGATGGGGGGGGGGGGTATTAAGACAGAAGATAGGTGGGGGGGGGGGGGGGGGGAGTCGCATCCGGCGCTTGTGTGCCACACCTCCTGCTCGACCCTGGATTTTCGCTTCGATAGGAACTGGATATGTAAAAAGCAAAAATGCATGTTACATAGCATCAATGAAATGAATAAGAGAGAGATATAAGAAAAATACATATGTGAGAAGTTGATCTTTGTATTCGCCAGTACTACATTAACATATTTACCTCAATAATTAAAATTTGTGACCCGTCAGCAATTTATTCTGTGTTCAAACGGACTAAAGGATAGGTATTTGCAAGCACAAAATACGAGTGCCTATGTTGTAACCTCAGTAAAATAGAAAGCAAACATGATTATACACCTACGTTTGCACCACGTTTGCCTACGGCACCTGAACAGTACTCTCAAATTTTACCGCTCCCCTTTCAATGCTGCAAGTTTGTGTGCAGCGGCGATCATGCTCCCATATATTCCGCTTTATAAAGGCATGCGAAATTAGTGGCCGTATTTGTACACAACGCATTTTCACACTCACATTGGAGCACGCGATCTCGGCATATCGTGTGCTACTACGCGGTCTTGTGACAAGATTATGGCTTGATACATCGCGGGATCGTGTGCTCGCACCAGACCGCGGGCTGTTTCCAATGTTAGCGAGCACTCAATCTCACAATCTGCGATTGATACATAGTGGCTCAGTTCTGTCTTCCATGTCTGCGGAGCGCCTTCAGATAAGGACTTAGGCTCCCGCCAGAGTGCCGAAATTATGCCAGCGCTACGCCAGCATTTCGATCGATACACGTGTATTTCGCTGGGGCGGGGCTAGCTGACGTCCCAACGAAATACACGTGTATCGATCGAAATGCTGACGCAGCGCTGGCATAACTTCGGCACTCTGGCGGGAGCCTTATGAACGTTTTAAAGTATCTGACAGGCTTTACAACTCGCAGATGGAATGGTGAGGTATCGGTCGCAAGCCAAAAATTTCATCTTTGTAGAGCTTTAGCAATCACCAGTACTCCGTTTGAGCTCATAAGAGACATCTGTAAATTATTAATTTCTAACTCAACTCCTCGCTATAAGCTTTCATCGCTCCTTCCAGAGGCGTTGTCCAAATAACGAAGACAGATGGTATCAGCTTTCGATGTCTTTCAAGAAGGTATGAGTTCTAAAAAAGGTCACCCCGTTTGAGGATCCTTCCCTGGTTAGTACGTTGCTTCATTAAGCACACTGTGGGCAGACGTACAATCTTTTGAAGTTCGGCCCTATATCCTCCTTTTTTCGCAAACTCTTTAACCGTGCTACTGCTGTGAGTCCATTTCCAAAATCCATGTAAGATGACGGGACAAGTCGCACAAAATCGCGTGTCTCACATCACCAGGCACGATGCGGACACGGGCATAGGCAGCTGTCTGATTTTTTTGAATAAATCACGAATATCTATTTAGTGTCTAACGGCGACAGGCCCTCGCAATGCAATTACACCATTGCGAGCAGGCTGGCTTCTCAGCTATAGTATGAGTACAGATAACAGTCGTAGCTCTTAATTATCCATAAAGAATGGGTAATATGCCCAAAAACAGGAAAAACCTTAATGCTATGGTATCTGTGTGAGGTACTAGGACGTGCGCGTGTCTCTGCGGCTGCATCACGGAAGTTCGCTGCCGTTACACTGCATATATTACAGTGTTGGAAACAAGGTACTTCATCAGTTTATTCCGACAATGGCTCATCAAATAACCCAACCAAAATGTCACCCGCGATCTTTACAACACAACTTGTTGAGGACATATGTGTAAACTCGATCCGATTCTTGTTCTTCGTCTGTTTCGTCCCTCAAACAAAGTGTGTATCGAAGCAAGAAGCGAACGGTTTATCTCATTAATTTCTTAAGCGTGGTCCAAGATTGGTACAGATCTTTATCGCACAGAATAACAGACTAACATTTCGGCGAACTTGCCTTCTTCAGAGTCTGAAAAAGTCGAAGACACATAAGCAAACTATCCGATCAAACACCTCGTCGACTACAGAAAGGAGCCCACCCTCTAAGAAAAACAACAGCCTCAACCAAAATCAAGATTAAGCTAGTGCTCACCTGCTTATGAACGGTTTATCTGTTGTATAACGGGTGTAGAATGACTTTGAGATCCTGCAAAACCAAGTGATTCTGCTGAGACATAGCCAACTCATGTTCTATGTGTGGTACCACGAGCACTTACCCGAACATGTGGTTATGAGGTAAACTCGTTTTCGAATTCGCTTGTTTAAGACGATAAGCAAGTATGCGTTAGAAAAGACGAGAACATCAGAAGCATAGGGTATCAAATTAGCAACAGTCGTACTTGCCAAAGGAGTTTTGAAGATGATGGCCGAATAACGAGCCAGTGTTTTTCGAAGTGTTAAGTGAAACACCACAAAATGTGGTTGCAACCTTATCATACATACATACCAACAAAGAAGCAAATGCTGCTTCGATAAAAAGGTCTAAAATTGCCAAAATAAACATGTTCCTCTCCGCTTTGTTCTGATAGCATCTCTTGGCGAGAGTGCAGAGCGCAAGCACAGAAGTGGCATTGACTATCGACCATAGGTGCGATAGGGGGAGCCGGGCTCTCCCCAGGTGAAGGGGGTCTCGGCTGTTCCCGACCTTCCAGGGTGAAGGGGGTATGTGAGTCTAGGGGGGGGGAGGAAGAGAGAAAAGGTAAAAAAGCGTGGTATGAAGTGCTCTAATTTGTACCTTATTTAGGCACAAATTGAAAAAAAAATTAAAATTTTTTTAAAAGAAATCTTTATGAAGATCTGTGCTCCTGTTTCATTGCATCAACAAGAAACGAAAACAATAAGGTTTATCCCAAAAGATGCACAAGTTAGGAACAACTTCAGTTCCTGCACATCATCATCAACAATATCGCTATCGCTAACGTCAAATACAACAAGTTCGCTGCCTGAAAAAATCTTCTTCTTCCTCCAAAAGGTCATCGGAGTAGAAGTAGGATTGCGTGCAAAAGCGTTCTGAGTCTAAAATGGACTTGAAACTTTTTTCTTCTTCTAAGCGCTTTTGTGATTTTTTTCCTGGCCCTCTGGTAGCACCAGGAATGTCAGCCGGTAGGTGATCAGTTTCTTCATACCATCTTTTAGGATATTTCAAAAAGTCATAAGGTAACGGCCTTTCTGGACCACTTATACCAATCCTTTGAATGAAGTTTTTAGATAACAATATGTTTAGTAGAAGGTTGACAAACCTTGTACGACTTCTGCGTTGTGTTCTGATAATAGAGTAGATAAAAAATTTCTTTCTCCACCTCTGTCGTGCTAGTCGGAATGGGAACTAGCTTTGCCAGTAAGTCCATCAGATTTTTGCGGTAAGTAATGGGAAAAGAGCCAGATCGCATATGCTTTCGCAACACGGAAAGGAAATAGTGCATACTTTTTTGGGCCTTGATGAACTCTGGCTTCACCTCCTCTTGCAAACGTCCTCTTAGCTGAT